CGGCATCTTTGATCTATGTTTTTCTTCCAACATGAAAACAACTAAATGACGAGGGTTGTAGGAGTTCAATTTGACAAGCAAGCCTTCTAGTTACAGTCTTTCCTGGGACCTTACTAATTATTAATAGTAACTTCCGATCAGAACAAGCTACATACTTAGGTCAAAACTAAAATGAACCAGTTAGTGAATGTGTCTAATAAATATACTGTTCTTACAATCTTATTTACAAAAATTAGAAGGCATTGTTCCATTTGTTGGGTACCTTTGCTGGTAATAGTTTTTCGGCCATAAACCCAATGATCATGAGATTCAGTCATATTAGGAATTTGGGTTAGTTTTAAGCGCATATATTAAATGCAAAAGTATCTCTGTGAATGAAAATATAATAATAAAACATCAAGAATAGTATATATATATATTAAACATTCTAAGCTCTACTGCTAATGAAAACAACAGTAACAAAACAACAGAGTATACCTTACTTACAGAACATATACACTAGTCGTTAGCTTCAAGTACTGTTGTAGATTTAACATGCGTTGAACATTTGAACATCACTATAACCGTGTATAAGCAAAACTTTACCCATTTTTTTAACAGCATAGCCTGACATCAGACATAAATTACTATTACACATGTTACTGTTTAGTTATAGAGTCGGATGGTAGGACAGTACAGATAGTACAGCAAAAAGCTAATGCCTATGAAGATACAAACAAATAAATAATAAATTAAATGAATACCTCATGTTTTGTATAATGATAAGTCAGTGGCCTTTAACACAAGACTGATCCTTTATGGGTTTTGGTAAGGATTTGATAAGGACATTTTTCCATATAACATGGATGTTACCTAATGCCAGCTTCATTGATGCTTTGACAATTACTTGCCCCCCCCCCGTGGCACAGCGGCATGTCTACGGACTTACAACGCTAGGATCCGGGTTTCTATACCCGTGATGGGCAAAGCATAGATAGCCCATTGTATAGCTTTGTGCTTAACTACAAACAAACAATCAATTTCTTCATCAAGTTGATTTCTTTAAGCTTCTTATAGGTGGAGCTTGTTTCACCATCTGGACTCGGAGTTCCATCTTCAGATGTATTTATGGCTCTATGCATCTCGTCCAAGCTAAAGATGCTTTCTATCTCTGCACGTAGTTGTAGCTCGTATAGAGAATGCTGTAGATTAGGCCTCTCTTGCATGTCATTGGTCAAAGTAACTGTGCGTTAATGCCTTGCATTTGTATTCATTTGTATGGAATAGGGTGCCGCTAGAATATAAAAGAGCTGACATAGCCTTGTTTTTTGTTTCCATACCAGCCATAAACTTGTAGATGCGCCAGAATGGAGAGCTTGTAGCTAATTGCCTCTAGAGAACACAGGCCTTGTTTCATTCAACCCTGACTTCCTCTGCACTGACTGTGTCACCCTTTATCCCATAATAACCAGGACAACGTGAATTTCTTCAATTTTAGTCTGGTCTTCGTTTGGTTTAAATGTGATCGGTTGAATGTTTAAAGAGGGTTTCAAAACGAATATGATTTCAGTTTAGACACTATAACAATTCATTATATGACATGTTTTAGGTATAGTTTTTATTGATCTCTGCTTTATTCAAGACTCAAAATTTTGAAGTTAATGTTAGATTTGCCGTGGAGAAAACAAAACTGATGTACTTGAATAGAGTTGCTTAAACATTTGTTTAACAAGTAAAAGCTTGGAATGGT